AGAACGTACAATAGCAAAAAAACAGTCTCATGCAAAAGAATGAAACTGGATCACTATGTTACTGAACACACACAAAAAAATGAACTCAAAATGGGTTTAAAATTTCAACATAAGACTTAGAACCATAAAACTCCTGAGAAAATAGGTGACTCCCTGGCAGGTGTGGCTCAGGGAATGCGCACCGGCCTCTGAGTTGAAAGGTCGTTGGCTCGAGTCCCAGTCGGGGCTTGTGCCTGGGTTGTGGGCCAGGTCCCCAGTTGGGAGCGTATGAGAGGCAGCCAATGGATGTATCCCTCGCGTGTTTCTCTCTCTCTCTCTCTCACTCCTTTCCCCTCTCTCTAAAAGTAAATAAAATCTTTTAAAAAACTTTAAAAAGAAAACAAGCAGTGAGCCACTTGGCATTGGTCTTGGCAATGATTTCCATGGATTTGATGCCAAAAGCAAAAACAAAAGTGAAGCACGACCCCATCCTTCTAAACGCTTCTGCCCAGCGAAGGAGACCACCACCAGCCCACTGGCTGAGAGAAAACATTTGCAAATCATAGCTGACAAAGCGTCAATATTCAGAAAATATATGAAGAACACATACACGTAAACAGCCAAAAAAAAAGTCATTAAAAAGTGGGCAAAGGCTCTGAATAGAGACATTTTCCAAACACATCCAAAGGGCCCACAGGCACCGGAACAGGTGCTCAGCGTCAGCAATCAGGGAAACGCAGCGCGGCGGCGCGGGCGAGGGGGACGGGCGGAGAGCGGCCCCACGGGCCCGGCCGGGGAATGGCAGCCCGTGCAGCTCCGCGGGCGACGGCGAGATAGAGCAGAACCACCGCAAGGCCCAGCGACGCCCCTTCTGGGGACCCATCCAAAGAAAATGAAAACACGAACGAGAAGACGCGCCGCCGCGTCCCCCGCAGCCCGCGGCCCCGCGTCGGCGGACAGAGGCACACGCGGCGGGAGAGGGAAGGAAACCCCGCCGTGCGGACGCGGGCGCACCCTGAGGGCGTCTCGCCACGTGGGTGCGTGCGAGAGAGGCCGACACGAGTGGGGAATCTAAGAGAAACGAACGGACAGAAACCCCCAACCCCGGGAGAGAACGGGTGGGGGCCCTCAGAGCGGGGCAGAAAGGAAAACCCCCAGGAGTTAGACGAGTGGGTCCTGGCCACGGCGTCCGGCACGGGGACCGTGTGACGACCAGAGGCGGTCGCCCCACAACGTGCGCAGGTACTGAAACGCTCTATCGTGGCCCTCCGGCCAGTACAGGTCACGTATCGTTTATACGTCTTGTTTCTAAAAAGCGGATTCTACAATGTGCTCCCACAGGGACGACCCTCGAGGACACTGCTTGGTCTCGGACTAGGACCCGGACTAGGACACGCTGTGGGACGCCGCCCGTGCGAGGTCCTTACAGACGGGCGGGGGGTGGGGGGCGCGGGGGGGGGGGGGGGGCGGCGGCCGCACAGCCGTGTGAATGGACTTGGTGCCACGCAACTGTCCACTTCAGTGGAAAAGGGGGTGCCCTTCAGCCCCGACTGGCGCGGCTCAGTGGACTGAGCACCGGCCTGCGAAGTAAAGGGCCGCCGGTTCGACCCCCAGTCGGGGCGCAGGCCTGGGTTGCGGCCAGGTCCCCAGTGGGGGGCGCGCGAGAGGCAGCCACACCTGGATGTTTCTCTCCTTTTCTCCCTCCTTTCCCCTCTCTCTAAAAATAAATGAAATCTTTACAAAAAAATGATAAGTTTATGTTATGTGTACTTAACACAACAAACAGGAAAAGGCCCTGTCCCGGCCACCGCCGTGGGCGAGACGGGTCAGCGGAGGAGGAAGGCCCGGGGCCTCCGCCCCAGCGACCCATCAGCCCCCTCCGCTGCCACTACTTTCCTCAGTGAAACGGGGGCGTGCGCCCCACTCACGGGCGGGGCGTGGGGCTGCCCGGGCGACGCACCTGCCGGCAGGCACCTGGGCAGGGCGGGGCTGCCGCGCCTGCGCTCTGCGCGAAGGTAGCTTGCGCGGCGCGCTCGTTACTCCAGCTGCGTCTAGACCGTGCTTGGGAGCAGCCGTTTCCAAGAGCCCGTTTCCAACGATAAGTGAAACCGCACCTCAGCTAATGGACAGAGTTCAGTTCCTGCGGCAACACCCAGCTTCTGAGTAAAGGCCCCGGACACTCCCGGCACCAGACACTGAAACAAACACGCTTCACGGAGGCCCGGGACCCAGGTCAGGGCCACGGAGGCGGAGCCGCCGCCGGCAGCGCAGGGCTCGGGCCGGGGCCGCCCTGGGCAGGACACCCCTCCACGCAGGGCCACCGCTCGCGCAGACAGGGCTGCTTCAACACCCCACTTCCCGCCACGTGCTCAGCCCTGGGACGTGGGAGGGGCCCAGGGTCCCCGAGGGAACCCAGCAGACAGGGCCGCGCCAGGAAACGATTTTTCTCCTCATCGATGTGAGAACAAAACGACGTCATTCAAGAACCTGCCTTATGTTTTATCACAAGAAGAATCAAAGTGCTTTTAATTCCCCCAAATCAGGGGTTCGGGAGGGCTGGCTGTCCAGCCCCCCTCGGCAGCCCGGCCCCCTCCCTCTCCGGGGACCCCCCGCCGAGGGCCCCCCCCCCCGCACTGCTCACAGCAGGGGCTGGACGCGGTGGGCCTGCTCTCAGCCCCCCCCCCCCCGGGGCCTGGCGGCACTCACCCCCGCCCAGCAAGGACAGGCCCCCCGGGCCACCCCCCGGGGACACCCCGGGATGCAGCTCTAATGCCTCCGGAGCGGCAGGGTCTCCATGCAGCGTCCCAAACTGCCCATCTTGCCAGAGAAAAAAGCCCCTCACCGAGCGCAGGCCCCTGGAATAGGAAGGCCCCGCGTGCACCCCGGGCCCCGGCCCAGGAGAAGGGCGTCAGAGCAGCACCCGCAGCCCAACCCGGGAGCGGGCGGGAGCCCCGCGTCTCCGCCCCCCCACCCCGGGCCTGCAGTGAGCAGCGCCTGCCTGGGGGGCCGCGAGCCAGCGCCTTGTTCAAGGGCGTGCGGGGGGGGGGCGGCTGGGGGCAGGGGCTGGGGGGCTGCAGGGGTCCCCTGCAGGGATGGCCCCCTCCCAGCAGCCTTCCTGGGGCCAGGCCTGCCCTGCGTCCTGCTGCGCGGGGCCCCACCCGAGCAACACCCAGTCTGTGGGCGATGTCCTGCCGACAGCAGGCAGGCTGTCCCTCCGCCGGCCCCCACCGCGGCCAGGGGGCCCTCTGCGCCCTCCTCGGCCGCAGCAGGGACGGGAGGCCCCAGCGGCTCCAGGCAAGGGGGACCAGCAGGGCTCTGCCCCAGAGCAGAGCGCAGGGGCGGGCGCCCCACAGGCCCCAGGGGAGGCGGGGCAGCAGGCCTCGGGCCGGCTCCCCTGAGGCGCGGACACGGCCGGCGAGAGCACGCACAACGCGGGAGGCTGTGGCCAGGCCTTCGAGGCACCGCGCCCCCTAAGGCTGCTCAGGTTCCTGGGGCCTCAGTTTCTCCAGCTGTAAAGCGGGGCAACGGCTTGTGTCGTGCCTGTCCCTGGGGCAAGATGCGGCGTGGAGGGCCAGCTCTGCGCGCCAGAGGCCTGGCCCACGTCAGGGAGACGGGCTCCGCGAGGGCCGGCCCAGGGTGGCGGCCGCTGGACGGAGGGTGGGCTGGGTGGGGCAGCGCCAGGCCGGCAAGCCAAGGAAGGCCCCTCCTGCCCGGCGGGGCCCCAGAGGCGGCCGGGGGAGGCTGCACGGGGGCGGTGTGGCCAGCGAGGAGAAGGGCAGGGCCGGCCTCCTCCCCGCGCGCCCAGCAGGCCCAGCCCCAGCGCCGCCGGGCCGACCGCGCTTTCTCCCCGGCGGGCGGAACCGGGCCTGGGCGAGGGCAGTGGCAGCGGCCGCGTCGGAGCGGCCCTCTGCGCCCCCGGGCGAAGGCCGGCTCAGCCCGCCCAGCCTCCACGGAAGCCTGTTGCTGCAGCCCGGTGGGACCCTCCGGCTCCCAGTGCGGCCTCACATGGCCTCAGCAGCTGACCGGCCGGTTCCCAGACCGGGGGCTGCCAGAGACCCCTCCCGGCCCGGCGGGTGGGCCGCAGGCAGAGCGGAGGACTCAGTCTTGCCCAGGGAGTGTCCAGAGGCGGCCCAGGGGCCTGGAGACAAATGCAGGGTCTTCCCACCGCCCCCCAAAGGGGGCCTTGGCCACTCCAAGTGTGTGTGTCAGGTTTGTTCTGAGGGGCCCTGGCCAGCAGCCCCCAGGGGGGACCAGTGTCCCCGGGGCTGCCCCTCCACCCTGCCGGCTGGAGCTGAGGCGCCTCCCGGGCTGCACCTGCCCCACCCGCGCCTGCAGAGGACCAGCCGGGGCTGCGCGGCAGAGGCAGATCCTGCCAATCCCAGGACACCTGCCCGGGCCACCCAGGAGCAAAGTCCTGCTCAGGGTCGGGGCGCAGGTGGGCCCGCGCCCCAGCTGGACGGGCCGCCAGCCCGGGGGCAGCGAGGTGCGGGCTGGGGGGGGGAAGGGGCGCCCTTTCCCGCTGGGTCCACGTGGCGCGGGGGCCCCTCCGCTTGCTGGGGCGCAGTGCAAACGGCGACTCCGAAGGGGCCTGACGTCAGCTCCAGGTGGCTGGGAGCCGGGTGGACTCACACCCTCACCCAGCAATGCGGCCGGGTCTCCAGCCTCTCCCTGAGGCCGCCCGCGGGCCACTGTTTCCTCTTTCTTTCCGGAGCCCGAGGTTTCGCAACGCGGCGACGGTCCGCGGGTGACAGCGAGACACGGAGCCCGGGGTGGGGGAGGGGAGGAGGCGACACAGCCGCAGGTCGGGGGGCCGCGGGCCAGCGACTCCCCGTCCCGGCAGGTGCACTCCGGGCCGCGCCCCACCCGAGCAGGGACCAGGCTGCGCGCCCGCGCCCCCGGCCACGCGGCGCCATCGCGTCCGCCCCGGTCCCGGATCTGGCATCAAGGCCGGCGCCCCCTCCCGGTCGGCACCCCCCCAGCCAGCGCCCTCCGGGCCCCCGCTCCCGCCAGCCAGCACCTACCTGGGGCGCCGCAGTCCGCGCAGTGCGCGTTCCCGGGCCGCTGCAGCAGCTCCAGGACGGCCCTCTGCCGCTCCGTGGCCATGGCCGCGAGGCCGCCGCTGCCGCGGGGCCGGGCCGAGCGTGCACCGCGCCGCGCTGCGCTAGGGCCCCACGCGGGCCGCCCGCCGCCGCCCCTGCGCCATCCCGGGCCGCCTCAGCCGGCGCGCGGGTTCCGCATTCCTGGCGCCCGCCCGTCCCCGCCGCCGCTCGTGTCGCCGCCGCGGCCGCCAGGCGTGTGCCGGCGCGGAGCCCAGGGCGCACGGCGCGCTCTGGCCGGCGCGGCCCGCGGGCGGCCCCCAGCGGCGCGGGCAGGAGGCCTCCAACAGCGCCCGCCCAGCGCCCAGCCCTCGCACCCCAGGGATCCAACCTGGGGGGCACCCCGAGGCCCACCCCCGCCCTAGCCCTGCAACCCCCTGGCTCTGCACAAAGCCGCCGGCCGCCCTGCTGGCCTGGGCGGGGTCACTGGACAAGGGACAGTGCCTGGACGCCCACCGTGCGCTTTCCCCCACCCCTGGCCAAACGCTGGGTGCTTGTGGAAAGAAGGGGTGCACACTGGGGGCCCGGGGCTCATGCCGTCCATGCTCTGCAAGGACACTGCCCACCCGCGGGTGATGAGGCCCAGTGTCGGCGGGTGCTCAGGGCGACTGAGGGCCCCCACCCGCCGTGTGCAGCAGGGACAGGGCCGGGGGCACCGTGCCCTGGACAGAGGCCTCCTGCTCCGGGAACCCGAGCCTGGCGGCGGCAGGGACAGAAGAGGCCACGGCAGGAAACAAAGAGGGTCTTTCCTGCCCTGCCTGCCCAGGCTTTTGTCAAACTTTGTTTTCTTCGTCACGGTGAACACATGGCTACGTCCTGAAACAGAACCAGGCTGAAATCTCAGCCCCCGACATCCTCCGCAGGCCTGCTCAGTCCGCCACCCACGGCCGCGCGGCCCTGGCCTGTTGGGACAGCCGGGGAGGGAGGCCTGTTCCCTCCGTCTCACCTGCTGGCCTGTCCAGGTGGAGCCCCCAGGCCGGCAGAGCGAGGCCCCTCCCCAGTGTCTGGACTTTGACGGGGGCCCCACGGCTGCCGGCCCCCGGCCCCCAGTGACCCGTCCCAGCGCCCCTGCCTGGAGGAGCGGACAGGAGAACCTGCCCTCCTCGTCACTGAGAAGGGGACATTCTACCACCCAGACTTCTAAGGCTTCCAAACAAGAGTCGATAGGACGACCAAGGAGCCTTTCCGGCCCTGCCCTCCGTGGGTACGAGAGGCTTTTCGGCCCGAGAATGACCCTCATTTGTCTCCAGAGACGCTGGGTTGGGCGGCGGCAGCTGGGGAGGCGGCAGGACACTGGGTCTGAAATCAGGCCTCATCGCCCGAGTCCCTTCATGAGCCCTGAGGGCGCCCCACGGAGAGTACCCCCCACCATGGGTGGAAGAGCAGCCGCAGCCCCGGAGCCGACCCCACCCTTCCCCACAGGCATCGCGGGCCTGGCCAGAGCCCTCCAGGCGCCTCCCTCCCCGGCTGCTCCGTGCCGGCCCGGCGGCCACCCCAGAAGTCTCACCAGGAGCGGGCGCTGGGGCTGCTGGGGCCGGGCCCCGGAGGCAGCCCCCATAGGCCCCAGAAGGAAGGGGGGAGCTGGAGGCCCCAGAGGCTGCTCAGGTGCAGGGGGCTGTGGCGGCCCCTCATAAGGTGGGAGTGTCCCCAACGGTGACATGTGGGGGCAGGGCCTCTGGGGGGTGGGGGTTCTAATGTTTATTTGTTTAGTGAGTTTTGCAACATTGACAATCCTTCTGGCTTGGTTTCCCGAAGTAAGAGGTTTGTAGCAGGGGAGGAGGGTGGGTCTGGGGGATCTTCCCGCCCGGGCTGCTGTCGGGGCCGGGGGTGGGGGGTGCAGGCGCTGCTGCCCCAGGGTGCCCAGGCTGCCACCCCCTCACGGGCAGGGTGGGGACCCACGGGGGGGCTGTGCACACCCACTCCCTCCCCCACGAGGTGTGGGGAGGCGGGTGTGCCCCGGGCCAGGGCACGGCTCACACTCCACCCACCGCGCGGCTCCTCAGCGATCACCTTGGAGCTGCGGGTTTTCAGTTCGCAGGCAAATCGGTGCAACTCAAAAAATCCACTTGTGAAGTGGACTCTTACGAGTCGGTAATAAAAAGGTAGATGGCCCAGGTAAAGAACAGGACAGAGGTCCGAGTGGACGTGTCTCCCAGGGACACAGAAGCACATGAAAAGACTCTCCGCACCGTCGGTCACCGGGAAGCACTGGCGGAACCCGTGAGGTGCCAGCTCGCGGACCCGGGGCGCCCGCGCGTGAAACGGGAGGCGGGTTGGGGGGGGCGGGGGGGGGCGAGGGCCGGGGCCGCGCCCCAGCCGCTGGGAGGGGAACGGGGCCCCTGTGCGCACGTCCCTTCCTGGCTTCACGGCGGCACAAGGTGGGAACCGGCCCTGTCCACCGGCGGATGAAGGGGGCACTCGGCTCGTCCACACCCGGCGGACCGCCGGCCGCCCACGGAGCGAGCACCGACACACACGCCCACAGGAGGCGTGAGCCTTGAAAACAGGTGCTCAGTGACATGAACCTGTCACAGAGGACACACTGGGCCCTCTCTCCACGCGTCCTCGGGTCTGGAGGGTTTCCCCGCATTCAAACAAGAACCGCGCGGCTTCGCTGTTCTCATGAGCTCTGACCCCACCGGAGCCCGCAGGGCCCCCACGCGGTGCGGCCGGTGCCGCGCCCCCTAGTGGACGCGGACGGGGACGCTGAGGCTGGGGCTTGTGTCCAGGATCAGCCCTCGGGCCTGAGTCCAGAGACCCGCAGGGGCACCCCGCACTCCGGAGGGAGGGCCGAGAAACCCTGCAGCCTCCCAAGCACGGGGGGAAACGCGTGGAAGCTCCCGCCGGTCACCATGCCCGCGCGCAGCGACCGCGCGGCTGCTGCAGAGCCCGGTCGACGGCGACCAAGTCCATGAACCAACGCGGACAGATGGACCCTGGACGGGCGCTGCGGGCGGGGCTGGTACATCCCAGGGGGGGCCCCGTCCTCCGCGTCCGCTGCCCCTCGTCCGTTCATCCACGCATCCGCCCCTATGCCTTCCCTCCTCTGTGACAGACTGACATTCTCCGGACTCCCGGACGGGAGGGTCTTGTCCTCACCCGCAGCCCAGGTGGGTTCTGGCGGCCCCAGCCCGCGGGAGGGCGGGCGGGAGAGCCCCGCAGCGGCCGCACAAAGCCTGGGCCCCCCAGGGTGGCGGACCCCGAGGCCGCCCCGTCCGCCCGAGCTGCGGCTGCCGTCCTCCCAGCTCGGGCGCGAGCCCCAGGTGCGGCGCCTCAGCCACCCTGGCGAGAGCCCCGCTGAGCGCAGCTGGCCCCGCAGCCGGAGGATGGTCCCCAGAGGGCGCAGGTGTTTAAGCTGAGCCCGGGCAGCCCACGCACGACCCGAGAGCGCGTGGGGGGTGGTCACCAGGCGCCCGAGGACGGAGCACTGGCCTCGGGGACTAGGAGGTGCCTGGCTCCCCGCAGCCCCGTCTCTGGTGCGGCCTCCTGGGGACCCAGCTCCGCTTCTGTCCGTTGCAGCCTCTGCCCCTGGGCACTTGGTCCGCAGGCTGCCAGGCACGCAGGTCCGTGCTGACGTGAACGTGGAGCTGGCCCGCGGGGCGGGGGCAGGGAGAAGCTGGGGACCCCCCGCAACCGGTCAGATCTGGGGTCCTCGGGACCCCGCCCCGTCCTCAGTCTCCCGCGTGGGGCACGCGGCACACTCGCTCCCCTCCAGGGGACCCTCCCCAGGGCCGCAGTACCGCCACCGTCCAGCAGGGGCCGCCCCACCACCAGGTTGTGTCCCGAGGCTCATTGGGGTCTAGTGGAACCGGGGGAAGGAAAGCGATTTCCAGAATGGTTGGTCCGCTCCCTCCCTCCTCCCCAGACAGAACAGCTCCATCCCAGAAGGTGGTCCCCAGCCCAGCACCTTCCGAAGGATGTGGCCCGCAGGGGGGAGTGGGGCCCTCCCCAGGGGGAGGGCGTGTCCCACGGCCCAGGCCTCCCCAGCCCCGCAGGGACAGTGCCCCTCTAGCACCGCTGCCTGGGACAACAGCTGCTCCTCCAGACCCTGGGAGCCTGAGGTTCCGGTGGGACTTGGCTCTCCCGTCCTTGGTCCCCACGGACCCCTCTCCAGGGCGCCCACTGGGGGAAGGGACAGCAAACACAGGCGCCACAGGGGACTGGGCACCCGTGGGCCCAGGAGCTGAGCGTGGGGCGAGTGTGAGCAAGCCCCCTCCCCCGCCTGCCGGGGGCCAGCCCCACGGGGGCCCAGCCGCCCAGGTCCCAGCCCGGGCGCCGGCCGCTCTGGGTGACCCGTTCTCATGACCTCGGCGACTCAGACCTGGGCGAGCCCCCTCGCGGGTCTTCGGGGTCCTGTCGGCCCCTCCCAAAGCCCAACGTCCGGAGAGAACTGGAGGACCGGGCACTCTGACCAGCCCCCAGGAGGAGCACGCGCCCCCCACACCTGGCACCTCAGGCGCCCAGCAGTGTGTGTGCCCCCCCAAGGAAAGTAAGGGGGTGGGTAGCGTCCTGGGGGAGCCCAGGCCTGGGATCCGCCGTCCAGCTGGGCTGTCTGTCCGGGAGGCCCTGAACCGCCCTGTGCAGCGGCTCATTCCCCCAGGAGGCTGGGACGGGCCAGCAGAGCGGCAGGGCACCCCGGGCCGATGGCCCGATGGCCCGATGGGACTTGTGTGGGACGAGGCCACGGGCCGGGCCGAGGGCCTGGCTCAGGGCACTTGGAGAACGTCCTGAACCCAGGCGCCTCTCCCTCCCCTGACATGTGACAGGCGCAGGAGCAGTGAGAAACGCACTCTGCGTGTGGGGCGGCCGGGGACCCCGGCTGCAGCGGGCACATCTGGCTCCTGAGTGTCACGCTTTTAGCGACTCAGCCTTAGGAAACCGAAGCGGGTGCCCGGGAGCGGTCCCCTGTCCCCACGTGGGACGATGTTCAGACCGACCCTCCCCACCTCCTCTCCCGCCGGAAGCCCCTGCGTGTCCCTGCTCCCCTGCTTGAAATTCACTTCAGAATGAGAACTTGCTGTAGAAAGTTCAACCACAAAAAGTTTAATACAAAGTATTTTTTCACTTTGAAATACTTTGACCTCCGAAGTTGCAAAAAATTAGAGTTCCCTGCCCAGCTTCTCCGAGGAGTGTCGTAGTGTCTTACGGGGCCACAGGACAACGATGGGGTTGACCCACGAGGTCGGGTGGTATCCGACCCGCAGCCTCCCGTCCGGGCAGCCACTCCTTCCGTCGCTGAGGAAGGACACTTCCGAGGACGCTGGTCTTCATTCGCTCCGCGGAAGGTCTGCGCCAGGCTGTGCCCTCGGGGAGGCGGCCATGCCAGCGCGGCCGCACCCTCAGGAGGACAGGTCGGGGTCCTGGCCGGCCCGCCTCACCGCCGGTTCGGGGACTCTGTCGGCCCTTAGTGACCGCTAAGTGCCTGAGGGCAGGTCCTCGGACCGGACCGGAGCCCCAACCCACTGCAAACTTGGCGTCATTGCTCAGACCGCACCCTTTCGCCCCGCCCCCGCCCCCTGCCGCTGGGAGACTCCCCAGTTCCCTTTGGGGTCCGCCCGGTCCTGGCTCGCCTGCCGAGTGGGGGGAACACGAATGTGATTCCGCCAGAACTAAACTGTGGGCCGGTGACCATTCTCAGGAGTGTCCAGTCTGTCCTTCCTGAATTTCTTTTTTGTAAAAATGCGCAGATACACCTATAGTTTTCTGCATCTCCTGGTAACATTGATATTGATACTCGGGGATCCAGCCTTTTCGTTTGTTTAAAAAAAAAAGTAAAGACACCATTTTGCTAGGGCACGGTTTTCTGAGGTTCGCCCACAGTCGGCGCCACCGGGCGAAGCGTCCCCACGGGAGGCCCACAGGCTCCCCCAGGGACCGCGTCACACCGGCGGCGGCGGCAGCGCCGACCACTCCGCGGGGAGAGGAGACTAACAGGGAGATCGACCTCCCAGAAGAACCCGGGGGCCCCGAGGACGGGCCGCCGCCCAGCCGTGAGCCAAGCCCGTCCAGGAGCTTCCAGGGCGTCCCAGATGCCCTTTCTCGGTCACACCAACTCCGCAGTGACGTCAGGGCGGCAGGTGAGGGCCGCCGCTCCGTCCCGCATGCCCAGCCGGAAGTCCTCCCGGGCGAAGTCAGTGCTTGTCGGCTTTTCCGTCCGTCAAGTCTCCAAACCCCAGTTTTTGCAGGGGCTCTTGTGCCATCAGTTGCCTGAAAGACAGAGACAAACAGGTGTCAAGGGGCTGGTGACAGGAGTGAGGAGCACGGGCCAGGCTGCTTGCTGGCCGCCAGCCCACCCCGAGCAGCGCCGATGGCGCAGGTCACCGCCAGGCCCCCGCGACATCCTGCTGGGCGCCTGCCGAGCCCCGGGTCCCTCCTGACTCCCCGGCCCCCTCCATGACGACAGATGTGAACAGTCCCGCCCCCGCTCCGCAGTGACAGCTGCGGCTTCCCCGGGCAGGTCAGCGCCGCGTGGACCGCCGTCAGAAACGGGGTGCGGGCCGCCGTCCCCTTTTCGCCCTTTGCTAAGGAGCCTTGTGTGCCCCTGGCTCAGGCCAAGCGACAAAGCCACCGGCCTGCCTTGTCGCTCGGTCAGCTGCTCAAGACGCTGAAACCTTGATGGCGGCGCCCCCCGCCCCCGAGGCTGGAGGGGCAAGGCCGGGAGGAAGGCGCCCCGGGCAGCGCGAGCCTGCCGGCGCGGGGGCGGGGGCCGGGGCCGGGGCCGGGGCCGGCTCCAGGGCTGGGCGCGGCCGCAAGGGCCTCCGGGAACGAGGCGGGCGGGGCCGCGGGACCCGAGGCCGAGGCACCGTCCACGCTACTCGCCTCTCCATCCTGCACTCCAGGTATTCCTTCGATTCGCGCCTGCACAAGCTGTTTTCAAAGCTGTTTTCGCGGAGGCACTTCAGGAACTTCTCCTTGAAGTGCGTGCATTCACCTAGGGCGGAGGAACACAGCGCTCGTCCCCAAAGCGCGCGCCGGGCGCGTTCCCGTGGCCTCCCCGGAACGGCCGCCTCCGCGGGCCCGCGCTGCGCCTGCGGACAAACGCAGCCCCGCGCCCCCCCTCCCGCAACCGCGACCGCCACGGGCGCAGCCGAGCGGAGCGCGGACTCCACCGCGGGGAGCGACGTAGGCCCTTGACGTCTCGCGAGACTCGCCGACAGGGCCGCCCTCGCGGTCCGCGGCCGTCCGCCGCTCACCGAAGTGGTCCAGCGGGAAGCTGCCCTTGTCCGGGGGCCGCGGCTGAAAGCTCTTGGTCCCGAAGTTCATAGCAGTCGACATGGCTGCAGCGCCGGAGCCTCCTAGACCGATACGCGCCCTACGCAGGCCGGCCGGCCGAGCGCGGAGCAAGCCCCGAGCGAGTGCCGAGCACGTCGAGCGGCCCGGCCGCGCGGCCCCGCCCCGTCCCCGCGCAGCGGCCTCCGCCCCCTGGCGGCTCGGAAAGGCCCTGACCCCGCGTGGGATCGCGCTTCCTCGGCCCGGCCCGACCCTTTCCATTCCCAGCCGCTCGGACCCGCACCGCAGCCCCGTGGCCAAGGAAACGGAAGCTCAGAGAGGCGCGGCGACCTGCCCGAGGACACACCGCCTCAGCGCACACCGAGCCGCCGGGCAGCGCGGGCGCATCCTGGGCAGTCTGTGCGGGTTCGCTGGCCCCGGCGTCTCGGGCCCCAGCGCCTGCCGATGGCGCTCGTCTTTTGAGAAATACAGTGAAGGAGGGAGCGAGGATGAGCTTCTGGGCGCCGCTCAGGACGATAAAAGGCCAAGGTCGAGGTGCCGGCAGGGCTGATCCCTCTGCTCCGGGCCTCGCTGCTCTTCTCTGTGGCCTGCAGGCGATCCTGGGCTCTGCTCGGATTGTGGACCCAACCCCCAGCTCTGCCTCCACCCTCACCTGGCTTCTCCCCGTGGGCGCTCCGTTTCCAGGTTCCCCCACCGATCGCTGGCTCAGGGCCCACTCTCGTCAGCTCACCTTAGCGAAAGGCACTGGGAAGTTGGTAGGGAGAAGTGCACCATGAGCAGGCAGGCTCTTGGCAGCCATTCCTTGTAGTGGCAACAAGGACAACAGAGAGAGGGCTCAGCAGAGACCCGAGCCCTGGGCACCCCCACGCCGGGCCCCTGCATTTTATCGGCCGATGGGGAGGTGGGGCGCTGCCTCCCTGCACAGCCTACCCCCTGTGATTCTGCTGGCAGCTCCATCCACCCAGCTACCAGTCACTGAGCGCCAGCAGCGCCAGGCCCCGCAGAGAAGCACCTGGGGTCCTTGGCAGCACGGAGCTCACCAGCTGGCACCCCCAAGTCTCTGCCGTGACCCGGCACCTCCACTCCCTCTAAGGTCAGGAGGAGAAGCCAACCCCAGACACTTCCCCCACGCCAGGGCCATCCCCGCCTCGGCCTGCCTTGGGCGCCGCCCACTCCGGGAGGCTCCCCGCACCCTGTCCGCAGGGGCTGCTGCTGGCTCTGGGGCTCGAGGCTGCGCCCATTCCACGTCTGGGACAGCCAGAGCAGCCGCCCGTGTGGGTGGGCAGCTGGCAGGGGGTCCGCAGGGACAGCGCCTGGCTGCCGGAGACCCATCCAGTCAGCGGGTCCATCAGCCCGGGCCCCAGGCCCACTTAAAGCTACGGAAGGAAAATGGCACCTTGTTCTTGTCACATGAACAGCCCGTTTTATGCAGCTGGACCCAGGGCCACACGCGTTACTCATTAATAGTTTCCAGGGCCGTCAACAATAGCGGCTTTATTATCCAGCAAGTAGCACTTTCCACTTGACTAGATGGAAGCACTCAGCAGTAAAAGGGACAGCCCCTCCCCCCAGAGTGCCCGCAGCCTGGGGGATCGTTGACCTCGAGCTGACAGCCCTCGTGATTTGCTTTCTGAGATTGTCCGGCTGGGGCGGGGGCGGGGGCAGGGGCATTTGAGCTGCACAGATAGGAGAAGTGGGGGAGGAGCTAACGTCTGGGGAGCCCTCCTGCGTGCTAGGCTGCTTCGCACGGTTCCAGGGGTGGAGCACAGGGCTTGGCACACAGCAGGTATTCAGCCGGTCCTCCTGGAAGAATGAACCCTCCGGCGTCTCTCATTCTCACGTGCACGTGCAGACACGGAGCGGCCGAGTCCCTGCCGAGGAGCCCCTGCCGAGGAGCTGGTGTCTGTGCTGTACGTGGGGCCACCCGCCATCCTCAGAGGGCGGCCATCACCTTCCGCACTCGTGAGGTCGCAGTGCGGGCAGGCCTTGGGGAGACGGCCCGTCCAGGGCGCCCTTTAAGGCCGGCGGGGGCTCCTCCTGCCGCCCTCCTGGTGGGTCAGTGGAGCTGGGACCTCGCCCATCACGGTGGGATCGGCAGCGGGAGTCTGAGAAGCTGCAACCCCTTGCCTCAGGGATCCCGTTCCTAGGGATTTATTTTACAGGGTTCTTCGCATCTGTGCCTCGGAGCGGCCGTGCCCCTGAGCCAGACTCGGGCATTCGCACCCAGTCCTTGGCCCTGATGCACCGTTAACAGTAAATGCAGATGCCCCGGGGCACGGGCTGGGCGGCGGACCCCGGCCGGGGCTCTCCCGCGGGGCAGGGCCGCTCGCCCCGGAGGCCGTCCTGAGTCTGCGAGAACGTGGCGTGACGGGAGCCGGCACCGTCAGGACAGATCGCGGCTCCGCCGCCTCCTGTCCCGAGCCCTCGCCCCGCCCCAGGCTGATGGGCCAGAGTGTGCGTGTGACCCTCCGTTTCAGAACACAGAGCGCGTGGGGGATGGAAAGAATGACCGTCCGTGTTTTGCAGGTGAAGACGCTGCCTTAGAGAGTTTTCCGTGGCCGGGGACTGAGAACCCACAAGTCGTCACGCACATGGAGCTCAGTGACGGAGAGACGTGTAGATCCGGTTTCTCCACCTCAGTGACTCCGGGTGGGGACCGTCGTGCGCAGAGGGGGACACGGGCAGCCCACTGGACACAGCAGCACCCACACCCCCAGAGGGGCCAGCGAGAAATACCAGTCGTCGCCGAGTGTTCCCAGGGTTAGGGGTCTCCCGGCCTGAAAATCACTCCTTTAGATCAGCGTTAATTTTGCTTCCGTTTTTCACCCCAAACTCTCTAACCAGCACAATGGATGGAAATACATACTTTTGTCCCCGGCTGGTGTGGCTCAGTGGGCTGAGCGCCGGTCTGCGAGCCAAAGGGTCGCCGGTCGGGTTCCCAGGCCCCGGTCGGGGTGTGTGCGAGAAACAACCAATCGATGTTTGTCTCTCACAGGGACGTTTCTCTCCCTCCCTCCCTCCTTCCTTCCCCCCCCCCTCTAAAAATAAACTTTTAAAATCTTTTTTAAAAAAAGTTACAAACAGCAAATGTGAAAAAGCCTGGGCGCGTTTTCCTCCGACAGCGACCGTGGGCAGGACAAGCAGAGCGGGGCTCACCCTCGGGGCCGGCGGCCGCAGCGCACACGGGCCAGGGCCGCACCCGCGCGCCGCCTCCGCGCTGCCGTGCACTCGCTGCACGCGAACGTCTCACCTCCCCGTCGCGCCGTCACGTTCAGCCTGGAGGGGGCGGCGCGGGGCGGGGGGCGAAAGCGAGCGAACTGGGAGGCGGACGCCGCCGTCCCCAGGACCTCGGAGAAGCTTGTCCAGCTGTCCCTAAGCTGGTTCTGGCTTCACACGCCTGGGGACTTCGCGGGGCGTGGGCGCCGAGGTCCTGAGGTCAGAGGCCGGGATTTAACCGCCGCGGGAAGAGGGGTGGCCGCCGCTCTTCCGCCCGCGCAGGCGACGCCGATGCCGAGAACCGGCCTGATGCGGGGGCTGCAGGCCTGTGCGGTGAAGGCCGGAGACCCGTGCGAGCTGACCGGCGGCGCAGGCGAGGCCGCGGGCGCGGCGGGGGCTGTGCAGAGCTGGGGCGCCGTCTGGAAACGGCTGCAGCCCAGGGACAGTGTCTGGGAAGCCGCCCTGGTGTTTTCTAGAAACCGGACGTCTAGGTCCTCAGGGAAATGGCTCCCGGGCTCCTGGCACCGCTCAGGCGCCGCGTGCCCGGCTGCCCTTTGCAGCCCTCGTTCCAGCCCGGTTTGCTCAGTTCCCAGGGTCGGGCGCGGGGGCGGTGAGGGGGACTGAGCGCCGGCAGTGGCACGACTGCTCACCCGGACAGGCTGTGGCAGAAGCGCCTGGACGCCGGGCTGGACCCCCGTCACCGCGCCGCTGGGCCGCGACGGCTCTGCTCCTGGGAGCAGGTGCCAAGGGCCGGCGGCGGGATCACCGCCCAGGCCCCAGGCGCGGAGGGAGCCGCGTGACTCCAGGCTCCCCCGCTGCGCCTGCGTCCCTGCGCGCTTCTCTCCGTGCCACTGGGGGGCGTCGCCTGGAGCTCCGGTCCCATAAACGGGGGTGACGCCGGTCTCGGGGTTTAGCATCAGGGCCGGCCCTGCTCGGGGTCGGAGGTCAGCCCTCGCCAGGCGCAGGGGGCCCGGAAGCGACAGCCGCCACGGACGCGCCGGCGGCCGGACCCCGGGCCTCAGGGCCAAGGGCGCTTTGCCTGCCCGTCTGGAGCAGCAGCCGCGGAGTCCCTCCCCGAGGTCCGATCAGACAAGACGCCTCGAAGGCACCGTGAGGAAGCAGCCGCTTTGCACTGGGAAGTCAAGTCTGGTTCAGAGGAACGTGAAGGAAAACGAAGACAGTTTACGATTAAAAGCCCATCGGAGTCTGTACAAGGGGCTGGGCATTCAGGTCCCCGCGACTCCACGTTCTCACCCGCGACGCAGGCTCCTCCTTGCCGTTCTGAGGCAGGAGAGAGTCAGGAAGGAGGAGACTCCAGAGGGGCCCGGGACTCAGGGGAAGAACGCCCAAGGGGCGGAGACCCTGTTCTCAGGCCGGGGGGTTCTGCACCCGGAAAAGCACCGAACCCTCGCAGGGCAGAGCTGCGCCTGCGCAGAGGACGCCCCGGCCCCTGCTTCCTCACAACGGCGTTGTAATCAGTGAGCGCTGTGGGGCCCCCTTCCCGGCAGCCACGCAAGGACATCGTGGGAGACCCACCCTGAGGAACCACAGCCCTTGAGCCCGAGTTCAGGGCTGCTGTTGGCTCCGCTCTGCTTCCACGTTCTATGCGGCTTCCTAAATCTGCTTTGTCTCGCTCTCTGCTGGAAACTCCGTTCAGTTCAGTTTTTTGTCCACAATCACCAGGGACCTGGTTACCTGTGCCCACCTGTGATAATTCCTCGGCATTCACGTCCCGTGACTCGGCGTTCCCCACGCCACGGCTCGGCGTCCTCGGCATCGTCATGGCCGTGACCTGGACGTCCCACCCCCGTGACTCGGCACGCAGTCCCTCTCTCCTGCTCGACCCCGAGCTGGCAGCACCGTCACCACCACCAAGCCCAGGGCACACGCGGGGCCTCGCAGTCTCCAGGTCCCAGGCGAGGACCTCCAGACACCTCGCCCTCCCCTCCGGGCACACGTCCGCCAGCCGCACAGGCTGCGCGTTGGCGCGAGGCCCCGGTCCCTGCTCCGCGGGCCTGGGCTCGGGACCGAGAGTGACCCCCAGCCCAGACGCCACGGACCCCAGCGACTCAGGATCTGCTGCGGGGGGTGGGAGGGTGGCGCCCCAGGCATTGCTGCGGGTTCAGAATGACTATTTTGAGCTTGGACTGCTTGTATTTCACCAGAAATGGAATTTCGTTGTAGGGAAAAAACCTCAACCATGGAGCTAAAAACCAAAGCTTTCCCGTCATCCTTGACTCCAGACACGCTCTCCGCGGTCACTCAGCCAGTGCTTCCTGCGTCTCACACACGCACGTGGCTCTCTTTGCTGTCAGCGCGCCTGGGGCTGTGCGGGGGCGCCTCTGTGAGGGGGGCAGGGGACGCAGGTCCGTGAGGACACTCAGGGTCAGCGGGACGTGGACAGGGCCGCCCCACCTCCTGCAACCTTCCCCTCCCCCACCCACTTCCCAAGGCCCGGGACCTGGCCTGGCTCAGGACTCCCCTGAGGAGACAAAGCCGCGTGACTCCAAGGCTCAGGTCACAGGCCCTGGTCCTCTGCTTCGTATCCCATCGGAGCAGTCGACCCCAAGAGGAGACCCCCGGGGGGCGCTGTGGCTGCCCCCGCCCCCGGCCCCCTCGCCCGCGGCGCCCCCAGCATCTCTGCACACAGCCCCTGCTTCCTCCTCCGCAGAATGGGGGCCTCCGGCTGGGCTGTCGGGAGGGGCCAGGCTAAGGGCCCTGCAGGGAGGGCCCCGCCCCGGCTCGGTGGGCAGAGGGCACCAGGAACGGGCTCAGCGGGGAGGCTCCGGGACGTCCTGCCGCCGGCACAGGAGCCTGGCAGGGCCCAGCTTCACCGTCCTGAGGGAGGAGGCCGCGCAGGGCTGAGCCCCCCCCCCCCCCGACCCGAGTGCCCTGCCTGCAGCGCCACCCCCCAGTCCGCCCCGCCCCGCCCCCGCCCCGCGGGGCCCAGCAGGCGCGCTCCGGGCTCCGGCCCCCCGCCAGCCCCCCGCCGGCCCCCTGCCCCTCACACACACTCCTCCCTGCTTTGCAGGGGCTGCTCCCCCAGGGAGAACCCCGACTCAGCTCTGCGCCTGACCCTCTGCGGTCCTTGGCCTCCCCCCCGCGGCCTCCCCCCAGTGCCCGAGGGGCTTTCAGTGGCGAAGCCACTGCTGCATCGGCTTCTCCTGCGGGACTGCGGGGCCCCGGCCGGGTCGCGGCATCAGAGCCTGTGCCCTGCGCCCTGGCTGAGCCCAGAGCCCGCAGGTGCCCGGCCAGCGCCAGCCGAGCTAAGGGGCTGCTGCCCTGGGCAGACAGGCCTGGCCTGCACCCCCGGCAGCGGCCTCGGCTCCGGCGGTGAGCACCCCACCCTGGGCGCGTGCAAATCAAGGCTGGGGGCCGGTGGGGCCCTGCCCAGGGCATGGGGCTCCAGCTGCCTCCTGCGGGGCAGGCGGCGGGGAGCAGGCCCAGAGGCTTCCGGGGCCAGCGGCCGCCCCGTCCCGCCCAGCTCTTTGTCCGGTGGCACCTCTTCCCCTCCCAGCTGGGCCGCCAGGGTTTAGGGGACAAGAGTGTGTCCAGACAGACGAGGGCCCATCAGGCGGGCCACCTGTCCCCCCGCAGCCCGGCTCCAGACCGGCCCCGCCCTGTCCTGGCGCAGGCTGGCGCCTGCTGCCCCGGTGACAGAGCCTACGCAGCCACCGAGGAGCCGACCGTCAGTCGCAGCCTTGGCGGCGGGGACACGGCAGGCGCCCCGCGAGGGCCCTGGGACTTGGGGCGTCGGCTGTGCAGACCCTTGAGGGCCGGTCCTGGGGGCTCCGCACCTGGTCCCCGCCCCCACAGGCCCCTCAGAGAGCAGCTGGGCGGACGCTGGGCGGGGACGGGGTTGGGAAAGGCCCACAGGCCTCATACCGCGGGGCCCGAGGAGGGACTCGGCGCAGGGAGGGCAGGCCGCTCCCTTCGGAGCTGGGCCGGGTCCCCGGGCCCTGGGGGCCCCGGTTCTGATGGGGAGCCCAAGGCAGAGGGTGGAGACCAGCCACCATGACGGGTCCCCCCAGCAGCGTGTGGGTGCGCCGAGCCCAGGGCCCGGACATCGGCCCCCAGATGGCACCCGGCCTGCGCCCGGCGCAGACTCGACCCCGCATTCCACACACGCCTGTCGCTTTAAGCCGCCTGGCTGTCCCCTGCAAACTGCCTGTTCCACATTCTCGGGGTGGCGGGGTGGGTGGGGTGCTGGCACGCCCTCCTGGAGGCCTACAAGGCACAGGGCGGGACGGTGGGCCCAGGCAGGGAGCTGAGGCCCCGTCACCGCCGCGCGCATGGCCCCACTGCTCCTGGGGCTCCTGGGGCTCCTGGGGGTCTGGGCGCTGCTCCGCGCCCGCGCCCGCGCCCCAGCCCCACGCTGGCCCCCCGGGCCGCGCCCGCTGCCCCTCATCGGGAACCTGCATCTGCTGCGGCTCTCTCAGCAGGAGCACTCGCTGATGGAGGTGAGGGGCGGGCGTCCGGCAGCTGGGGGACAGCCCAGCCCCGTCTGGGGAAGCCGAGTCCCCGTTTCCCAGGACCCTGTGGGTCAGGAGGCTCCAGGTCCCGCTGGGCCCTGGCCTGGCAGGGACCCAGGGGCCCCCGAGTGCCTGCCCTGCCTTGGGGAAGAGACAGACACGCCACCCCACACGGAAGAAATGGCTGTCGGCAGAGCAGAGAGCCAGGAGAGCTTCCTGGAAGAGGCAGCATTTGAAGGGACCTCAAAGAAGGGCCAGGTTTGGGGCAGCAGCAGCGGGGGGACGGGCGCCCCAGGGAGAGGCACCAGGCAGCAGAGCCAGCACCAGGTGCTGCCCGCTGCCCACACCCACCGAGGGGCAGCCGGGGGCCTGCCGGCCACAGCGCCTGCTGGCTGGAGGGCGGGGTGGGGTGCTGCGGGTTGCCCACAGGTGACCTGGACCGAAGCGGCTGCTCCCCAGGCTGCAGGCCCCAGGCTCCTCGGCCCAGAGGCTGCCCGGCAGCAAGCCGGGGGCAGAGCAGGCAGGGACTGGGGCGCCAGCCGAGGGCCGAGCCCTGGCTGCGGTGGGGAGGTGAGAGCCCCCCTCCCCGTGGGCAGGGACGCTGTGGGGACAGGAGGGGACGCAAACGCGCAGGCGAAGGGGTCGTGAGGCCAGTGCTTGCTGGCACCAAGTTCTCGGTCCCCTTCCCCCGCACCTGGGAGGCAGGCCTGGGAGGGGGCGGGGCCTGGCGGTCGGGGGCGGGGCGGGGGCTCCCAGCACAGCCACCCCAGCCCACAGCCCCCCAGCCCTGCGGCCTGTCTGGGGCCCGAGAAAGCCCCTTGGAGAGTTCCCCTGAAAAGAAGCCCCCCGAAGGCCACGCCCTGCCTTCCTGGAGGGGCGGGGGGAGCCGCCCGAGACCCTGCTCCGGCTTCGTGGCTCCTGGGCCTTTGCCCACGTGGTCCCCCGTCCGGCCTGGGCTCTGCCCTGCACAGCATGGCCGGGGGGCGGGGGGCCCCCAGGTGACCCCTGCTGTCGCCCCAGCTTGCAGAACAGTACGGGCCAGTGCTCACTGTCCATTTCGGACGCCAGCGGACAGTGGTGCTGAGCGGCTACGAGGCGGTGAGGGAGGCGCTGGTGGGCTCGGGGCGGGCGCTGGCCGACCGGCCCCCCGTCCCCATCTTCCAGCTCATCCAGGGCGGCAGGGGTAGGTTCGGCGGGGCAGTTCCTGGCAGGTGGGGAGTCCCCGGCTCCGTGCCTGGGGAGGGACGGGGGCGGACGGTGCTCGGGGACTGCCGCGCCCCGGAGGGGACGGGGCTGGCTGGGCCGGCTCCTGGGGCCGCTGGTGGGGACCCCGTGAGCTGCCCGCCTGCACCTCCAGGGCCCCCCGCCATGTCGGCCACAGGTGTCTTCTTCTCCTCCGGGGCGCCTTGGAAGGCCGCCCGCCAGCTCACCGTGCGCACCCTCCACGGCCTGGGCGTGGGGCGGGGGCCCGTGGCCAGCAAGATCCTGCGGGAGCTGAGCTGCCTCGTGGGGCAGCTGGACCAGCATGGAGGTGAGTGGGGGCTGGGAACACCCCCTCCCGGGAGCCCTCCCCACTGAAGCCTGTTGCCTGCCCCCCAGGCCGGCCCTTCCCCCTGGCCCTGCTGGGCTGGGCTCCCTGCAACATCACCTTCACCCTCCTCTTCGGCGAGCGGTTCGACTACCAAGACCCTGTGTTCGTGGCCCTGCTGGGCCTCATTGACGAGGTCATGGTCCTCCTGGGGTCCCCGGGGCTGCAGGTGAGAGGCCGCTGCCCCCCCGGCCTTGGGTGGGGGCGGGGAGCTGGGTGCCAGCCTGAGACAGGCGGGAGGGGCCCCGCGGTCGCCAGCCGGCAGTGAGCTCCGTTCCGGCCCCCGCGTCCCGTGGCTGTGCCAGCCCCGGTCAGTCCCGGCACAGCCTGGGAAGGGACAGGTCTCAGGCGCAGGCCCCCCTCCTGTCCCCTCTGCTCGCCACCCAGGGGTCCCTGGCACCGGCCCTGCAGAGTCGCAGGCGTCGCCTCTTAATCTCCAGGACGCCCGGGGTCCTGTGCATTTTATTCCTTCCCTAAACCCGGAACGTCTGCGTCGGCAGCGGCAGCACCGTTTCTGACTGTGACTCACTGAGCCGCGAGGCCACCCGCGCGGCAGGGGCTGGGGCAGCGGCCTGAAGGTGGCGAACCCTCCCCTCTCCTTGGGGCTCGCGGCGGACTCAGCTCTCCTCACAGGGGGCCGCTCGCCCCTCCCACCAGCTCGGGCGGGAGGAGAGCAGGGTGTGATTGCAGCCCCCGGCTGCGACCTGCAGGGACTCCCAGGTGTGCTCCCTGTCACCAGGCCCCTCCTTGCTCCCCTGGGAGGAGTCCCGGCCTGGGTCCCACCCGGCGGGGCTGTGGGGCCCCGCGCCCCGCGCCCTCTGGTGGCCGCGGGTGGCAGCAACCCCGCGGCAGCGGCAGCCGGGGCGGGCGGACGCAGGCGCTGAAGGATTGCCCGCCCCTCCCGGCGGGGCGGCGGGGCTGCGGGGCGGCCTCGCTCACCGCCGGCGCTGTTGCCCTCTGCCCCCAGCTGTTCAACCTGTACCCCCGGCTGGGCGCCCTCCTGCAGCTGCACCGGCCTGTCCTGAGGAAGATCGAGGAGGTGCGCGCCATCCTGAGGGCCCTCCTGGCGGCGCGCCGGGCGTCCTCGCCGCCGGGCGGCCCCGTGCGCAGCTACGTGGATGCCCTGATCCAGCAGGGCCAGGTGCGGGCGAGACCACTCCCACCCCCACCCCCGACAGGCCCGGGGGCGTCCCGGGGAGCCCACTGCCGGACAGAGCCCTCCGGTCCCCACCCGGCCCTCCGTGTCTCCGCTGAGCCTCCGTCTCCCCGCCTGCGAAGTGGGGTTTCATGGCGCTTCTTTTGGGGGTGGCTGGGAGGATGCGGTGGGCCAGCCACCGCGGGCACTCCCAGGAGTTTGGCTCAGACCTCCCCCCAAGCCTGTCTCCTACCCCTTTCCTTAAGCTCAGGGCCGGGGGGCGGGGGGCCCATGGGCACCGTCTCCTGCTCAGCCCCACCCCGCCCCCTTCTGCAGGGGAGGGACCCTGACGGCCTGTTTGCCGAGGACAATGTGGTGGCCTGTGTCCTGGACATGGTCATGGCCGGCACGGAGACCACCTCAGCCACGCTGCAGTGGGCCGCCCTCCTCATGGCCAAGCACCCGGGCGTGCAGGGTGGGTGTGCGGGGCGGGCGTGCTGGCCACGCCGCCTGCCTCTCCCAGCCCCCCGTGGGCGGGGGGGCCGCAGGGGCCGGGGACAAGGCTCCCGCGGACGCCGGTGTCCGCCCTCTGGCCCACAGGCCGGGTGCAGGAGGAGCTGGACCGTGTTCTGGGGCCCGGGCAGCTGCTCCGGCCGGAGGACCAGCACTCGCTGCCGTACACCAATGCCGTGCTGCACGAGGTCCAGAGGTTCATCACCCTCCTGCCCCACGCGCCCCGCTGCACGGCCGCCAACACCCGGCTGGGCGGCTACCTGCTGCCCAAGGTGGGGTGGCCCGGCCTCCCCCAAGCCCTGGGCCCAGCCCGACTCCCACTCGCCCGTTCCTCTCAGCTTGGGGGCGGGCGCCGGGGCTCCCAGCGGGAGGCTGGGGAGGCTTCCGAGCTGCAGGCCCCAGCCCGTGCTGCATGGCCTGGGGCCGCGCCTGGGAAACGCGCTCTGCCCTTGACCAGGCCTCCACCAGGCGGGGCCGAGCGCCTCTGGCCACCATCCTGACCGGCGGGGGACCCCCGGGGACCTCCTCTCAGTGCGCCGGCCCGGGGCCTGCCCTGGTGGACAGGGCAGCCAGCCCAGCACCCCCTGCCGGCCCCCTGCAGGGCACGCCCGTGGTCCCCCTCCTGAGCTCCGTGCTCCTGGACAAGACGCAGTGGGAGACCCCCCACCAGTTCAACCCGGGACACTTCCTGGACAGCGACGGGCGCTTCGTGAAGCGGGAGGCCTTCCTGCCGTTCTCTGCAGGTGCGGCGGCCTCCGGACCCGCCGGCCGGCCCCTCGGGAGCTCAGGCTTGCCCCCCGCTGCCACCCCTCCCGCCTGCTCGGAGCCGGCCCGGGTCCCCGGGGCCCGCAGGCCTCGCTGTTAGGCTGCCTCCTCGTCCTCCCCGGGCAGCCCCCAGCCCTGGGCCTCGGTTTCCCCACAGGCCGCCGTGTCTGCGTGGGGGAGAGCCTGGCTCGGACGGAGCTGTTCCTGCTCTTCGCCGGTCTCCTCCGCAGCTTCCGCCTGCGGCCCCCGCCTGGCCTGGGCCCTGAGGACCTGGACTCCGTGCCCACCCCCGCCTTCACCATGCGGCCGCCCGCACAGCTCCTGTGCGCGGCGCCCAGACCCCAGGGCCACTGACCGGGGGGTCTGGCCTGTGCTCTGGACAAACTCCAGGGCCTGGGGGGGGCGTGGGTCACGCCCCGGCGACACAGTCCCTCACGCGGTCCCTCGCCTCCCCGCGGCCCCCGGTGCGGACTGTGTGGCGTGGGCCCGAGGGCTCCGTCCCGTGGCTCCGGCCAAGCTGCCTCGGGGCGCGGGGGTGGCCCGTCTTCAGGCCTCCACAGCCCCTTCCCTCCCTGCTCCCCAGGGCAGCCAGGCCCCGACCTCCTTTCTTCCGTTCCTCCTCCCCCAGGCGCGTCCCCGCCCCCCAGGGACCTCCCCACACAGCCCCTGCCGGGTGCCCCCACAGCCCGTTGGTGCCGCCCCCCCGCCAAGCCTGAAACCCGTGAAACCCTCGCCTCCAGCGCCCTGGGTCCCACTAGGCCTGAGCCTGTGACCTCCTGCCCCGTCTCCCCTGGAGAAACAGGCCAACGAGGCACCAGGGTCCAAGGGGCGCAGCCAGGCCCCGGGAGACGCCCTCTCGGGGGTGCGGGTGACTCAATAAAGACGAGAGCGAGCAGCTGTGCAGCGTCGTCTCGCTCGACACTGTGGGACCCGAGATGTGGGGCGTCCGCTGGCCACACAGGCAGGACTTGGTCCCCCATCCTCGGGGTGCACTGGCGCAGCCGGTACCCCCGTGGCCCCGACTGCGGGTTGGGCGGGCGGAATGCAGATGAGGTGGGGGGCGGGTGGGCCCCCTGGACGTCTGTGCTCAGCACCCCGCCCCCCCCGGGTCCCAAGGGGAGCGCCTTCAAGGCTGCAGCGGGGCTGAGCCCCAGCCTGCCTTCGGCCCCTGCGGGCCCCCGGCCACACCGCGGGTCGCTCTGAGGCCACGGAAGCCAGAACCACACGGTCCCCCGGCTGCAAGCAGCCTCCCCAGGACACGCACGGGCTAGGGCCTCCATGCTCAGGGCTCCTGGGGAGAAACCGCTCTGCCAACCGAGGCCCAGCGGGGCTGCCACGGGCTGCCCGCACGTCCTGCAGGGGCTGGTGGCTCTCGGTCCCTAGGGGCCTCTGGCTCCGCACCTGGCGTGTGCAGGCTGCACCAGTGGGCGGGCCCAGCGCTGAGACCCTCAGAGGCCAGGGCTCCGGGCTGCGGGCGAGTGGGAGCCAAGGCCGCAGTGCAGGCCTGCCCGGGCCCCTTCGGACGTGCGGGCCCCTCCTGGGCTGGGTCGCCCCCGCCCCAGGTCCTACCGCACCGCTCAGACGCCCTCCTCAGCATGGTGTTTTGGGGCGACTGAGACTGAAGCCCAGCTCACTGCCAACCAGCATCGTGATGGTTTTTAGACTTTATTTTTAGAGAGATTAACAGAGAGAGGAGAGAGGGAGAGAAACACGATGTGCTATGGGAGCATCGACTCCCGTCGCCTCTCGCGCGCCCCCTGCTGGGGACCCAGCCCCAAGCCAGGCGTGCGCCCTGACTGGGCATCGAAGTAGCGACCGCGTGGTTTGCAGGCGGCGCTCAGGCCACTGAGCCGCACCAGCCGGGGCAGCACTGTCATTCTTTTAAAAAATGTTATTAACGTTGGGGAGACAAAACATGGATTTGCTGTCCCACGTGTCAATGTGTCCGCGGGCCGATTCCGGCCGCCATTCCCCACCTCGCAGCCCACACCGCGCAGCACGGCGCCCCGGCGCCCCCGGCAACACGGTGCCCCACCAGCCGTGTGGGCCGCGCTCCGCTTCCCCTGCTGTCACCCGCGGCGGAGGGTCATCCGGGAGGCCCCGTGGCCTGTGCACTCTCCTCCAGGAAGGCCTCTTCCCAACCTGTAAGTGAGGACAGACCACACAGGACAAGAGCCCAGGCGGCACGGGCCACGTTTATTGAAAATACAGCCAGTTCCCCCCGCAGCCAGGCAGTGAGGCCACAGCTTGGCCTGACGGGCGAGCGCTGGACAGCCACAGCCCGGCAGGCTTGGCGCGGTCAGGCCGGCGGCCAGGAGACACATGGCCTGCACGGGAGGGGCCTCCAGACCGAGGGGCGAGCCGCAGACCTGGGGTGCCCCCCACAGCCCAACTGGGACCACAGCTGGTGGGAAGCAGGCCCTGGCTGATCCCTACGATCCCCTAGTAGAAAAATAGGCATTTCCCTCAGCAAGGAGCACCCAGGGTAGGGGCTGGGAGCAGGCCTGCGTCGTACCCGCCCTGAGGGGCCAGGGCCTGTCGTTGCCTGTCAGCGGCTCTGGCGACGAGGGGCGGCAGCCGGCGGTCCTTTCCGGGGTCCTTCTGGAGCCAGGAGGAGGAGCCGGCACTCAGAAGCCGCAGGCCTGCTAGGGACCCAGCTGTCTGCCGGCAGCATGCGGCCGGCGGCCCACCCGGGGCCTCGCGGCCACGGCGCCTAGCAGAGCAGCTGCAGCACCTGCCGGACGCGCTGGGCCTTCGCCTGCAGGGTGCGGTCGGGGCCGTGGGCACCCTCCTCGTCCAGCTCCCGCATCAGGGCTTCGGCCTTCTGCACGGTCAGCTCCCGCGCACGGCCCCGCAGCCCCTCCAGGTAGGCCAGCAGGGCGGCGAAGTGCTCCTCGGGGACCTGGGCGGGGTGGCGAGGGCGGCTCAGCAGGCGGGCGGGGCCCGGGGAGGACGCCGGGCCAGGAGGACCGGTGCCCCAGCCGGCAGCGCCCTGGCGCCAGGGAGCCCACGTCAAGCGCAGTCCGTGCTTCACCGGCTTCCGAACCTGCCACAGAGTTACCACGGCGCAGACTGGCCGCCAGGCCTCAGGACGGACGGACAGGCGGAGCAGACCGACCATGGAACAGAGGACCCAGACTCACACCAACTGATTTCCCACAAGCCACCAACGTCACTCAACGGGGAAACAATCCCCTTTGGAGCGACTGGGCGTCCAGACGTGACAAAGCAAAGCTGGACGCCGCCTCACCCCACAGCAGCGGCGCGCTCCGGCCGGGCCGCTGCTGAGCACGCGGGAGGCCGGGGGCGCGGGGGGCGGAGGCCGCAGAGGGTGAAGGGGTCAACGGGGATCCAAAAATTATACAATAGACTACTAGTAAAAAAAAAAAATCTATCTTTGTGAACTTGGATGAAGCAACAATTTCTTAAGATAGGATACCAGAAGCAACTTAACCAGATAAATTAGGCTCCATCCAAGTTAAAAACCTGACCCCTGGCTGGTGTGGCTCCGCGGGCCGAGCGCCGCCCCGAGGACCAGAGCACAGCACGCGAGGCAACCACCGGGAGGTTTTTCCTCCCCCACCCCAAAGAAAAGTAAAATGTAAAGAAAAAACCACCACCGTGACACGGCGAGCACTACGGTGCGGAGCCGTCGCTCGGTGGAAGACGGGACGCTGAGCCGTCGCGCCTGCAGGTCGCGGGCCACGAGGCGCTGCCAGCGACGCCCCCGCCCCGGCATCGGGTCCCGGCCCCGGGGCTGCGGAGGGCCGGGGGTGTGCAGGCAGGGCTGGCCCCCACGGCACGCACCTTGTCGCTGTCGTACATGTGCAGCAGGAGCCAGGTCTGCCGGGTCTTCTGGAACCTCCAGTCCGCGTGCTTCTGGGCCCAGCTGGGAAGGCGAGGACATGGCGTCTCAGGCGCTGGGCGGGGAGCAGGAGGGGCCTCTTCTTGGCCAGGGGTGGGGGAGGGTGTCCGTGGGGGCCCTGAGGGGCCCTTCCCAGCCCAGGGCACAGACATGGACCAGAGGGGCTGGGGCCTGGGCAGGGGACACGTCACCCCACACCTGCGGGGTCCCTCGGCTGGGCCCCGACGGAGGACCAGAGCATTTCCCGCCAGCCCGGCCATCCCCTGGTCTTGCGGGGCCGTCCTGAAGGGAGGAGCCTGAGCCACGCACGGAGGGAGACCCAGGGTGCCGGGGGCCCGAGCCCCGGCCCCAGGGACGGCGCGGTCTGGGCGGCTCCGGTGTCGCCGTCACGGAGTGCAGCCTCAGCCGCGCCAGCTCCGTGCCCCGGACAGCGCCTGGGCAAGCTAACCCGCTCAGGCGGGGTCCACGGGGAGGGCCCGAAGGACGGGGACGGGGGAGCCTGCGGCAGTCTACGGGGGAAACGCGTCGGCGGGTGAGTTCTGGCCAGGGCACTCACCGGGACGGAGACCCCTGGGGTTGGGGGGTCCATGTGCCTGGGACTCGGGGGCACTGACGGCCGGGGGAGCTGGGGGAGGCTGTGCGCTCGCTATTCCAGCTGCGGGCTCCTGGCCTCCACTCGGACACGTGGGGACACCCCCGGGTCCCTTGCAGGAACCCATCTCATGGGGGCAGAACGCCACCCAAGGACAGACCCCGTCTTGCCCAGGGCCACCAGCGCCTCACGCAGCTGTCACAGCAGGAGCCCTGGGCCAGAACGGGCCACCCCGGCCTCAGTCCCTCCTGGGGCCTCTGCCACAGGCCAGCAAGGCCCCGGGGACCGACCTCACAACCCCGGCGTCGGCCCCTCTGCCCCGTCCCGCCCATCTGCAAGGGCCCTGCCCTCGGGCTGTGGCTCCTCCGCTCGACGCCCCTCAGAGGCCTGAGAGCCGGGGCGCCCCGGCAGCCCGCTGCAGTGACGGGGGGCAGGCCCCCCCGGGTCCTGGGCGGGGCCGGAGGCACTAACCGGGCCTCAGGCTGCGGGCACGGGGTGGCCTCGTGCCTCGGACCCATGGTGCGGCATCGCCTCTCCGTCGGTCCATCGTTCTGCCTGAAAGCTGGCCTGCCCCGGGACACGCTGCCCAGCACACCCCTGCAGGAGCGAGCCTGTGCCCCGCCTGCCCCCATCGCCCCGCGGGCAAACCGAGGGTCCCGCAGGCCGGGGAGGGACACCCCGGGGCTCTGCTGGGGGAAAGGGGGCAGCCTGGCTGGAGACGTATTTCCCGTAGAGAAATTGTTGGTTTTAACGGAAAAATGCCAACCTCCCGCCTCGTGGACATGCCGAGTCCCATGTCCTCAGGGACAAACAGCCCAGCAGGGAGATGCCCAGCAGAGCCCACAGCACCCCCCTCCCCGCCCCCCGACGCTGCTGTGCTGCGGTGGGTCCACGGGCAGCGTCTCAGCGGGCGCGGGTCTCAAGGCGCCCACAGCCAGCCAGGGCCCCAGGGCCTGTGTCCCTCCCAGGGCTGCAGGCCCCGGCGGGGCGGCCCCTCACCCGAGGAGGTAGTCCAGGGCCAGCTGGGCGCCGGAGCGCTGGGCCCGCGGGGGCTGGGCGGGGGCCACGGTCGCCTCCCGCAGCCGCTTCCGCTCCTCCTTCCTCCGCTCCTTCTTCAGCTTCCTCTGCAGGACCCTCTTCTCCTCTGGGGTCAGCGCCGGGGTCGGCTCCAGGTCTGAGCGTGCGCCTCCTCCCTGAAAGGCAAGGGTCCGTCTGTTAGGGCCTTGGAAGCCCCGCCCTGGCCCCAGGGCCCCCGGGCCCCCGCCGCCCACACCGAGCCACTGCAGGGCCTGTCACGGCTGGGTGACCGCAGGCCCGGGGACCACGGCTCTGCGGCGAGCCCCCGCCCCCCGGCTCGCGGGGCGGCTGCCCCCCTGCCCCCGCAGGCTGCAGCGGCCTGGCAGAGCGCCGACCTCCCACGCGAGGCCAAAGACGGACGGAGGGAAGTGGAGGTGCCACGCGCCTTCCTTCCTGCGCTGGGGGAGGCCGGGAGGGGGTCTGGGGTCTGGGAACAGGGAGGGTCCCGTGGCCACTGGCTCTCCTCTGACACACAGGCCGTGGCCTCCCAGGTGACCCCCCCCCCTCCGACACCTCGCCAGGACAGTGAAGACCTCCAACCCTCGCCCCCCTCAGCAGACCAACCCAAGAGCCACACCTGGGGGCCGGGACTGCGAGGGGGCCGTACAGGCCATCTCCGGGGAAGAGGCCCCCGGGGTTCGCGCTGGCGCCGGCCTCGGGCCCTCAGGGAGGGCATTCTGCCCACGTGCCCCAGCGTGGAATGCCTACCCCTTGCCCTCTGCTCCCACTTGACACCCTCCTCCTGCTGGAATCTTGTAGAACAAAGAACCCCTGCTCTGCTCAGCAACCCCCACCTCCTCCTTGAAAACCAGCTGGACTGGACCAGCATCAGCAGCCCCGACAGGAAACACACGCTGCCTCCGCCCTTCCTTGGCGCCGGGCTCGCAGGCCGCCAGCCCGGAGGGGCGTCCAGATGGGGCCTCGGGCGTGAAGAGGCCACGCTCGTGCACTTGCTGCGCGCACAGAGCGCGGGGCTGGGCCAGAGGAGCCTGGGGGACGCCAGCCTAGCTGCGGGAGGAACAGGCAAATCCCCCTGCAGCTGGCAGGCGATGCCCCGCTGCCCGGCCAAGGGCCTGATGGAGGGCCAGGCCTGCGCAGGGGTGGCCTGGGCGCCGCCGACACCGATTCCGAGGGAGGTGGGCAGGTTGGGAGGTCTGGGAGGGGCGGGAAGCAACGGCGCCGGGAGGGGGGCGGCTCCCAAGGTCCCGACTGTCCCGGGACACTCCCTGCCACTGGCCGTGACCCTGGGAGGGCTGGCTGCTGCCGGGAGGCCAGAGGGGCCTGGCCAGGTGTCGCGCGAGGACGCCCTCCCCGTGCAGTGGCCGGCGGCACGGGTGGCAGGTGGGGCTGGGAGAGGGCGCGGCCAGGCGGACCTCGCGGGCCCAGGACACGTCCCGTGTTCACCCCACAGACGCCTACGGGCGGGTCCGTCCTCCAGAGGGGCCCGGGGTGGGCAGCGGGCAGGACGCAGGCCTCCCACCCTGTGGGCTGTCTGGGGGCTGTGCCCGCTCCTCCATCACAGGAGTGCCCCACCTTTTGGTGTCTGTGCCACACTTTAAATGCACTGCGATGCGTCATCAGAAAAACGTCTCATGATGTTTGGAGCATGTTCATAATTCTGTGTTGGGCCGCAGACTGGACACTCCTGCAGGTGTGCCAGGGGGCAGCGCCCGCGTCCTCAGCTCCAGCGCAGGTCCTGGGGGCCGGGCTGGGCGCCAGGCAGCGAGGCGCCGCCCTCAGACTGAGCCCGGGGGCAGGGCCTGCGGTGGCGGCACACCCAGGCAGAACCCCAGCAGAGGCGGGCTGGGGGTTTCAGCAGGGGCACCCCCCACCCACCACCTCCCTACGCCCAGGGAAAACCCTACCCCACAGCACGCGCGGGTTAGAAATGTGTGCGCTGAAAGCAAAACACAAACCGCGAGGCAGCCGCGCACAGGGGGAGGGCCAGGTCAGGAGGAAGGGGACGTGGGCTGGGGAGGGGGCCCCCAGCAGAGGCCTGGGCAGCGGCGCTGATCAGCCTGTTCAGATGCGGAGAGCCCCGGAGGACGGCCTCTGGCCGAAGGCTGCTACGCCTGCGGCTGCTGCCCGCTGGCCTTTCCAGTCTTGATGCCCTGAAACCAGCCCTCGCAGAGCGCGATCTCAGGGACAGGCAGGGGAGGCACAGAGACTGGGGTCCGGAGCAGGGAAGCGGGTCCCAGACCCGCGCCTCCCCAGCCAAGGAGCCTCCCTCCAGTCGTCCTGAAGCCCGTGTCCCCTCCTGCATGTGGCCAAGACTAAATGCTGGCCGGACTCACCGCCCCAGCTGTTAAGACCCCAAAAGGTAACTCCCGAGAGCACATTACCCGCTCCCTTTCCTAAAATCAGTAAGGAACAAAAGACGCGGTTTCCCAGTTTTTAAAGAAACCTTTTATTCTGCGACAGTGAGACAGCCTGGTGCCCGGCCCCTGGCCTTTCTCAAGGTCAGAGCCACACAGCACGCACTCCCAGACACTGCAGCTAACGATGCACAGTGCACAGTGTGCAGGTCCCCGCCACAGCCTTTGAAGGCTCCTCCTCACGAGTGCCCTCCCTCAGCCGAAACACCGGGCCGAACCAACAGGCGCTGGTGCCGGCGCCGCCGCCCACCGACGGCAGCCCCGACTCACGCAGAGACGATGCCAGAGAACCTGCACGCCACCCCCTCGGGAGGCCGCTGCTCTGATGGACCGCAGCAGCTCTGAGGGAAACACAGCCGCGTCCCCTGGAGCTGGGGGACTCCGTGGAGCGTCGTGGGCCCCGGGGTCCCGGCTGGCGCTGGCGCTGAGGCGGACGCGGGCTCTGGCCCCGAGGAGCGCACGGCCGACGTCAGCGAGCTCCTGGAGGACAGGGAGCGCGGCCGCCCCGCAGGGCTGGGCGGGTGGAGGCCTCCTGGCGGCACGGGGCTCCTCCGTGGGGCTCCGGGGCGGGGGTGGAGGCCCTGCGGACGGTCTCAGGCGTGCCAAGTGCGTGAAACGGAGCCCATGGGACACACGTGGGAAGACGGGGGAACGTGAGAAAGGCCGCCGTCCTTCGTCACCACCTGACAGCCAGAGCCGTGCGCGGGCAGCACCGGGCCACCCCGGCCCTCGCGGTCCCCCCGCCCCACAGTGCTCGGCTGCCAACACTCACAGTGGAAGGAAACGCTACACTGCGGCCGGAGGCGGAGAAAACAGACTTTCTCATCCAGGCTCAAGCTCCCCGGACCCCAAGCCCTCAGTGGTGCCACCACATGATGCCCAGGACACGGGCCAGACTCTCCCTGGGGCTCCCCGCCCGGCGCGGCCTGCGCGGGCACTGCCCCTGGGCTCCAACCGAGGAGTAAGGCCTGTCCACGGTCACAGCACAAGAGCAGGGCAGGCCAGGGCGCGGGGAGGGCCTCCGCCCTGGCTGGGGCCTCGGCTGGCGGGGCCCTGCCTCCCGGCTGCAGAGGGCGCCGGGGGTCAGCCCCTGTGGGTAAGGGTGCGCTGCCCTCGCCAGAGGCGGCCGTGAGACAAAGGCTGCCCATGGGCCACCGCACAGCTGTGCTCAGCAAGCCGCGTGCAACCCGCACCCGTAAGCTGAGGGCCAACGGGCCGTCGGAGGTGGGGCTGCCACAGGGCCCATGTGGCAGCTAGGCTGCATTTCAGAGGAAACACTAAAAACTTAACACAATTCTTGCCTTTTAACCCAAGAATTAAATGTTAAATGCCAATACACACAGGGAAAGCTGGAAGACACACAATGTGTAGCTCTGGGCACCAAAGCCAGGTGGGAGGAACCAGCTCTACAAGACCTTTCGAATGTCCCTGAAGTTCAGAAGTTTGGCCCTCGACACCCGCCAGGGCCCACGGCTCTCGAGGCTGCGTGCAGCCAGCTTCCCAGTCCCTTGCGACAGTGCGGTCCTGAGCTGGCGGGACAGGCTGTGCTGCTTGCTAACTGGGCTGGCCTCCGGGACACCCCCCAGGCCTGCCAGAGGGGCTGGGAGAGGACCTGTTCTACCCCCTGCCGGGCGTGGGGGGAGATCACAGGAGGGGCCCTGCCAGCAGGCAGACCTGCTCTGACTGTCCTGAGAAGAACCCTTTTCACAAAGATCCAACTGGGATTCCGGGGACAGAGGCAGTGATACCGCGCAGTGGGACCTGCGCTGGCATAGATCCCTCCTCACTCCCAGGCGCAGCAGCCCAGCCCCGCCCCGCCCTGGAGGCTCGCTCCCCGCCGCAGCCGGGCACAGCGCCTGGACGCGGACAGGGGGCAGAGCCGGCCAGGGCTCTGGGCGAGGGATCCCCAGGCTCTCCTCAGCGCCATGAGCTGGTGAGGGGTCACAGTCCCTGACAGATGTCAGCGACAATACAAAACACATCAGCTGGCCCTGACGGGTAAATGTAAACCAGCCGCCCTCCCCGAGGCGCTTGGGTGAGCCCTGCCCAGGAGGAACACCTCAGCTGCACCACCCAAAGGCCCGGGGCCAGGATGGACCCAGCGTGGAACGCGGGCGATGCCAGCGCCTCGAGGGCCCTGTCCGGGACAGCAGCCCAGGGCAGGGCATGGGCCTGGCGTCCCTGGGGACACGTGTGCGCTCCAGGCGGGGACGGAGGCACAGCATGTACACAGGCTGAGCAGCCACGGAGGCCCTGCTCGAGCCGGGGCCGGGGACGCTGGGGAGCCAGGCCAGTTGGGCATGGGGGAGCAGCGCCTGGCTCTGCCCCGTGCGCAGGATGCGCGTGCCCGGCGGGGAGCTCTGTGCCTGCGCACCGGCCTGCAGGCGGCTGGGGACAGGGCCTTCAGGGCCTGTGCCGGGTCCCATGTGTGATCGCGATGCACAGTGGGGACCAGGAGGAAGCCAGCAAGGGGGCTTGGCAGCAGCTCCGTCCCCAGAGGCCCCGTTCTCCCACAGGCTGAGGGCCTTTACTCACGAGGGACCTGCAAAAGGGCGGCTCTCTGCCGAGTCTGGGCAGGAACCAGTCCTTCAGGCCTTTGAGAAGAGGGGGGGTCCCTGGGAAAGTCCCTTCCCAGAGCCCGAAGGCAGCCCAAGCACTGGGCACAGCACCCAGGGACACTGCCCCCTGAGAATCGGCTAACTGCACCGCAGGGGCCGGGCCGGGCCCAGCCTCCTGGACCTCCCGATCCCCGAGGCTGCCAGCCCGCTGTCCCCCAGAACCTCAGCTCCGCCTCTGCACCAGCAAGTGGGCCCGTGCCACCTCAGGCATGTGGACGCTGAGGGTTTGCCCCGCTCCGTTTCCTCATTACTAGGCAGCCAGGCAGGCTGGGAACCACACCTCCGTCTGCAACGCCATCCCGGCTGGCTCTGTGCTGGAGGGCAAAGGTTGCGAACCCGTCATGCTTCCGTGTAGCTGAGGCTGCCTGCAGGTCCCAGCCATGCTCACTTGGACACACGTGACTGGGACCCCACGGCTGCCTTTGTTTTCCACCTGGAAGCGCTGTTCCGGAAGGTGGATGGCCAGCCGTCACGGGCAGAGCTGACCGGTACTAAGTGCAGGAACTGTAAACGAGCCTAGACATCACGTTTAACAGATAAAACATACATACTCCTCAGCCTTCGCAGGTCGGCTGCAGCCTCAGCTGACTAGGCAGCACAGACCTTGCCGTCTTAGTGACATTCTCATTCCTGAGGTCTGCGACACCCCCAGACCTAACGGCGGGGCCCGGGCCCGGGCCCGGGAGCAGGCCCGGGAGGCAAGCTCCTCCGCAGCCACGGCCCCTCCAGGACGAGCCGGAGCCCCCACGCAGCTCTCCCACGGGGCGCCACCCCGTTTCCGAGGGCCGCGCTCTTCCTCGGTGGCCTCTGTGCCCTGTGTCAGGAGAGAGAAGTGCCGTGACTCGGGGAGCCATTCCCGTCTCAGGCCCCTCCTCTCCCGCCCCAACCCCGCCAGGCACTGCAGGCCTGCAAAAGGTATGGACTATACAGTAACAAAACACATTACTGCCTCCAAAATAAGGACCAAATCAAAACAAATATTGCATTAAGTTTCTGCAAAGTGTAACACATCCACTTTGTTAATTGTTGAATACAACTTTCAAAATAATTTCATCACAGTTGCAAACTATTTATGGGCTAGGTTTTTCCAATTTTGCAAGAACTCCTAAGCGTACCCAGCAACAACAAAAGATCACGTTGCTAAGTAATAAGTTACAGCTAAATAATTTCATAAACAAAATGACAAATACCCTGTGGGTTTCTGCTCCAAAACACGGGCGTTTAACGTGCCAGGCGGAGGTGGGCCTTGCAAAACGCTGCGGCCGTGGCCACAAAGGCCTGAACGCCGGTCACAAACGACCAGACGCTCTTCCTGGAAGGGAAAGAGCCATGACTGGCTGGCCCACAGTCGGGGACAGGGACGGCTGCACTCCCTCCCGCCCCCGCTTGACGGATGAGAAGCCGGGAACGGGAGGGCCACGGGGCCTTGCCGCGGGGCACCCAGCCTGGAGCTGAGACCGAGTGCCCAGAGCTCCGGCCGGGAGCAGCAGCCCGAGGAGGATCCGTGGACACCCGAGGTCTTCACGGCGCAGCGCCCCTCCCTCGTCTGCAACCGGGGGCTGGGAAGCGGGGATAAGGCAGGGCGCCAGGCCGTGACCCTAGGAGAAAGGCGAAGCGCCCCCAACCCTGGCCCAACCCCGTGGGGGAGGGGCGCCACGCCCTCGCGGGGACTCAGCGAGTCGGGGGTCTACCCCTGCCAGGACCCCCCCTCCCCGCAACCCCTCTGGGAACAGCCCCGTCCCTGCCCCCACGGCGCGCTCGTGCAGAACAGACCCCCGCCCGCCCCATGGCTCCACTCCCGGGCTGGGCGCACTGACCTCCGCGTCCCCGGCTGCCGGGTCTGCCAGGCCCGCGCCCCCCGCCCCCACCCGCCCCTCAGCCCCGCGCACTGCGCATGTCAGGCCGGCCCGGCGCGGCTGGATCTGGTTCCAGCCGGCTGGACGGTGACGCAAGGGCGCCGGCGCTCATGGGTGGGGCTCCCCGACCAGCGCTCTCGCGCCGGGAGGAGGCGTGGCTTCTACGCTGGGCATGGCCAGGGTGGTAGGCGGGGCCAGGCCACCCCGAGACCCTCGCGGTGCGGAGGACAGGCGGGCACCGGCTCCCTCCTTCACCGGCCTGTCCAGGAGAGCAAGCGGGGGTCGGGCCGCTTCCTGGCCCGCAGCCCTGCCGGTCCTCAGGCCTCGCTTCCCACGCTCCCCGACGCAGGAGGCAGGAAACCCCGCTGGTACAGTCCAGCACCTCGCCCCGCCCCCCCCCCCCCCCCCGTCGCTCCCCATTTCTCTGCACATGACACTGACCAAAAGCACCATCAGGTTTGGGCCCACGCGCTGTCCCCGTTCCCATGTCTCCACCACCATCAGCAAGGGACCCTGGGTCCCCAGAACCCGGCCAGCCGGTGCCCCAGGGCTTTTGCACAGGCTCTTCCCTTTGCCCCAGGCTGACTTCGGATCGCTGGCCCTGGGGGGCTCTGGGACGCCTTCCCTGCCCCAGCTCCTGAGCAGCCCCCCAGCACTCCCTCCTGGAGCGCTGGTCCCCGCCCAGCCCCCACACCGTGCGTGCCGCGAGGACGGGCGCTGGCGCCACTGCCCGGATGTCCTCGTCCGGCAGAAAGCGGACTCGATAAAGGTTCAGGGAACCGACGCACGAGTCACACCCTCTTCCCTGCCCTGTGCGCCCCCAGCCTCATCCAGAGCTTTGTTCCCTCACCTAAGGCAAGACCGGATCAATTGTATGATCCAGGCAAAAACCACACTTCGGCAGCCGGGAGCCTGCCAACCCCACCCAGGGGCCCTCCGCAGGCTCCAGGGGGCGGGCCTGGCCCGTCTCACCCACCAACTTTGGCAAAGGTCGTGCCCCAGCGGCCGCAGGACGCCCTGTACTCGGCTGCCGCGGGGCTCTGTGGGGGCCCTCCCCCCCTCGCCCAAGCTGGGCCAGTGGGTGTGGGCTTCCTGCGCTGGGTGTGGCAGCCCCCTGCTTCCCAGCCTGATAAGGATCTCCCGCGACCAGAGCCAAGACCTGTCTTTCTGTGTTTTTCCTCTTGGCCATTTCCTGCTGTCCCCAGGGACCCCCCCACGCAGAGGCTTGCTCCACCGGGGGTGGGGGCAGGGGCAGGCACACTGGCCGGCAGCGGGTGGGAGGGAAGGGGGGCAGGGCACTGGGTGAGCGGGCCTGTGCTTTCTTGTTTAACCCCTGCAGGCGCGGGTGTCCCCGCCGGACAGACGAGGTTGCAACTCGGAAATGTTTTCAGGTTTTCGAGGTTGCTGGTTTCGGGGAACGAACTCACTGCTGGGTCTCGGGATGCCAGAGGGCCCGCATGCCAACCTCCTAATGCCCTTCCAGGTCAGTGCTCTGACCCAGGGCCTTGCTCGCCCGCCTTCTCAACCCTCAGGGGGCTGCCTGGGGGGCCGGGGGGGGCAGCCTGGCACGGAGGTGCTGGCTGCGGCCGCCACGTGCAGAGGCAGGCGGCTCAGAGCAGGCTCTCGCTCACGCTCCCGGCCACCCCAGTGGCCACACCTGAGAGGAGAAACCGAGCTCAGAGAGGGGGTGAGGGGTGGCGGGGCCGCCCGCCGGACCCAGTGCTCCCTCCGAAGCCTTCTGGCCGGGACCAGCCTGCAGGGCATGCCCTGCCCCTCCAGGCCACACGCAGAGGCACCGGGCCCTTGGCTGCACCCCTGGGGTTTCCAGCACAAGGGCCCCCATGTGGCCCCCAGGGCCTTGGGGACAAGGTCCAGCTAGTGGACTGGGGCGGTGTGACCAATAGGCCTACCTACCGTGTGAACCTGGAGGCAGCTGCTGGGTCCACCCTGAGGGAACTGAGAGACCTCAGAACCCCCACACCCCAATTAGCTCGGCAGCTCCTGGTCACAAGACTGGGTACGTGACAGGGACCTGTACGCGCCTCACAAATATTTGTCAAGCAGCTTCTTCCCGTTAGACTCAGTGCTGACGCACCATGGGAAGCAGAACAGAAACGCCGCTGTCAGGGACTGACGCGCTGAGCCCGAACCCCCAAAGTGACCGTGTCGGGGGCAGGGCCGTGGGGCAGTCGGTTCGTGGGGTGGGGCCTCACTAGTGGGAAGAGCACTGTCCGCCACGGGAGGACACAGCGAGAGGATGGCCGCCGGTGACCCAGGGCAGGGCCCTCAGTAACCGAGAGGAAGTGTCTGTGTGTGGAAGGCACCCAGGCGGTGGCGTTCCGTCCCCGCGGCCCAGGCCGACCGCGGTGCCCGCCGCAGTGCGGCTGCATCAGACTGGGCTGCAGCGCTGAGGACAGGCAGGGAGTAGGTGTGTTTGCACTTCGTGGTGTAAAATGGTTGTGGGAGGGTGAGGTCAAGGAAAATGGCGCCAGGAAGGTGACACCTGAGTCCAGGCCGAGAGCTAAGGACACGGCCTTGTTGACCGGGAGAGAGGGGGTCCGGGCAGGGGGGCCGCTCCCGCCCGAGTCCTGGGAAGGGGTGCAGAGGCCCCCGCGACGCAGAGGAGAGGCTGGGGGCTGGGGGACGTGCGGGCGGGCGTCTAGAGGCCGCGTCGCTGCCAGACCTTCCCCCAGAGGCGCTAAGGTTGGCTTTCAACACGTGGCCCCAGGCACCCCAAGATCCCACGGGGCCTCCAGAGCCCCTGCAGAGAGAACAAGTGTGTTCTCCACACACGTGCTGCAGCGGTTTTCTGTGCAGTCCCAAGTCACCCGGTCTCACGCGGGGGCGCCGAGCAGCCAGCAGCAGCCCTGGGGACAGACCCACACTGCAGGCTGCGGGGCGCTACCGCGGCCGGCCTGCAGCAGGCGCGCTGGCTCTGATCCCGGCCCACGCAGCCCCTGCCCTTCCTGGCCCTGTGCGCCTGGGCGCTGGGGGAGCCCGAGGCTTTGGTGGCCCAGGACGCCCTGCGTGCATTCTGGGACTCTAACCAGGAATCCTAGGTCTGAGGCCACTCACACAAGGAGACAACACAACTCTCCAGGCACGTTGCTAGGAGAACCCAAAGTCCCCAACCCTCATCTAGAAAGCCCAGGATCACCTGGGTTCAAATTCCGCTATTTGCTCTGTGACCTTGGGCCCCGTTCCTTCGTTTCTGAGGCTCAAAATAATCGAAAATGAGATCACCGTATTTCACTGATGCGAATACATTTCATATCTCCTTCTAACGTTTTTAACACCAGGGTGCTGCTCATAACTGGAAGTGTCAGAACTTAACTGGCAGATGGCTTTCTTTTTTGCGGTCCATGAAACAGTGGGGTGCAGTGTGTGAGGGACGATGCGGGGCCTGCAAGCTGCGGGGTCTGTGCCTTGCGAGCCGGCCCTGAGGGCCTGGGACAGAAGGGCCCCCCGGCTGCAGGACATCGGTGCTGGCTGACTGTGACTGGTCTTGGCCTTGGGCAAGCGTGGCCCACTGCCTGACGCCCGCTGCCACTGGCACTGCTGTTGCGCTGACCTATGCCCAACAGGGTGGCGCAGGTGGCGGGGCCCAAAGCGTCCACAAGCGGCCTGCGTGGAGAGGGAGACTCGGCCCCCGGCCAAGCCCAGCTCCCCGCCGACCCACGGTCAGGACGCTGTCCTGCCGGGGCCAGCCGTGGCTGCTGTGGTGACTCCGGTCCCGCTTGGCCCCATAACCGCGTTAAGCCCCGCAACCTGCACATCGGCCTTTCGGACAGAAACGCTCTGGGAGCCTGCGCCTGCCGCCACGCCACAGGAGCAACTGGTCTTGTCTTCAAACTTCCCCAACGTTTCATTCTAACAGCAGCTATGGAGTCAATGGGGCTGCAAACGCTGCGATGTCTCTTTAAGTGGTTTCCTGGGGCCAGGTCAGCGCACAAAGAAACCCCCGGGATCCAGGGAGTGACGGGCGGGCGGGCGCAGCAGGTGCGCCCGGAGGCGCGGAAGGCGCAGGGCCCGTCCCCGCAGCTCGGTGCGCACTGACTCAGCATCGCGGGTCCGGCGCCACCGGGCCTGCGCTCTGCACAGGCCGCCCGCGCGTCCCGGAAGGGCGCCGCCACCCCGGCCGGCACCCGCCGCCGCGCCGGGGGCGGGGCCACGCGGGGGCGGGGCGCGCGGTCACGTGTGTACACAGGCCCCGCGCGGCGTGCGCGCCGTGAGCCCGCCGCCTCCGGAGTCCCGAGCTGCCCGCCCGCGGCGACTGCGCGGCCCGCGGCCCAGCCAGCCGGTGAGTGGGCGCCGAGCGTGAGGTCGGGGTCGGGGTGGCCGGGCGCCCGCGGAGTCCCGGCCTGAGCGGGGAGCGAGCCCCGGGCTGTGGCGGCCCCGTCGGCCGGGCGCTCCGCTCGGACCCGCGGGTCCCTGGGCCCGGCTCTGCGCGGTCCCCTCGGGGCGGGGGCGCTGTGGACGCGCGGCGCCGGGAGGGCAACCAGCCAGGCCGCCGCCCCGCGGTCGTTAACCTGTCGGGCACGGGAGCTGTGCCCGCGGGTGGCCAGCAGCCCCGCCGGCTCACGTCCCAGCGTCGGAGCTTTGTCCCTTTCACGATGACAGCGTCGTAGTAAACTCTGAACGACGCCCGATCGGAGACCCGCTCTGCGGGGACCGCCTCGGCTCCTTGGTAAACACACGGCCCCGCACGGATGGGCTCCTCGGTGCCCAGCGCGGCCGCCGCGCCGCCAGAACCCCGACGGCGGTCACCGTCACAGCCACATTCTCGGTCCCAGGGTCACTCCACCAGTGTGAGGGTGACCTGGTATCTCACGTCCCTCTCACCACTGGAGACGGCTCAGCTCAGGTCCCCGCACCACCTTTTTCTGTTTCGTTTGTTGGAAGTGAGATCGCAGGATGCTTGTCTCTCTCTGACTTATGTCACTTAGCATAAAGCCCCCTGGGTGCGCCCCCGTGGTGGTGGCAAATGGCAAGGTTTCGCTCTCGTTTATGGCCGAGTGACACTTGACTGCGTGCGCAACGCAGCCGCTTTCCTCGCCGGCGCTGCTGGGCGCCCGCGCTCCCTCCTTCACAGAAGCAGCTCCCTATCTCGGCCGCGCAGCCGCGGCCTCCCCCCATCGCAGCCTTGGACCTGCCCGGGGCCGCCAGCTGCCTGCCCCCCGCCTCCGCCCAGGCCAGGGTGTGAGGAGACGGCTCTGAGGCCGTCCCCAGGCTGCTGGGCTCCGCGGAGGCCAGGTCCTGTCGTCCCCCCGCGTCCCTGTTGGGTGCAGCCCGCAGTGAGGAGAGGCTCTCCAGCCACCACCATGCTCTGCGCAGCCGCTCTCCCCACAGAAGCTCAGAGACCCTCCTCCAGTCTGAGGGCCCATCGTGGACAGCAGGCTGGAGGCTGCCGCGGGCCAGCCTGGGGCCGCACAGAGCTGAGGGCCTTGGGCTGGGGTGCCTGCTGCCGTCTTGCCTCTGCAGGCAGGAGAGAGGTGCACAGCTTTGGGGAGAATGTAACTGTCAACGCTGACCTGTGGTCCCTGTGCTCAAATGACTGCCTACTGTGGGTGCACGTGGAGTTTTAGGTTACAACTCACACACTGACCATACCTGTTATACGGTGAAAAAAGGACAGGCTCGCCAAGAACTGTCAGGGAGACGTGCCTGTGTCATTCACAGGCAGGAAGAGGGACCTGCTGCTCCCACCCCCTGGCCCTGAAGGTGCACTGGGGGCCCTGCCTTTGGGGGCAGGCGCGGGGCCACCTCGTAGAGACCCCGGCCTCGGACCGCGCCGCCCAGTGTCTCCTCCTGCTGGCCGCCGCCTCCTCACCCCGCCCAGGGAAGCCACCGCGTGATGGGACCTCCTCGTGCCCAGGACAGGAAACGCCGCCCCGGCCCCGCCGGGCAGGGAGGGCTCCGGCTGCAGAGCAGGGACGCGCATCCCCCCTCTCGTCGGAGCTGCCCCCGCACGATGCTGCTGGGGTTTCCACGGGCAAACAGGACACCCTCGTTCGCAACAGGCACGGTGAGATGGCCCGGGGTCCCATGTGTCCCCAGAAGGCCCACCCTGCGTCCCTTGCCTCCCACATGTCTTAGCCGAGTGTGTCCAGGAGCTTCCAGGTTGATTAAAACTCAGCAAACTGAGGAAGCAACTGTTACAAGTAACACTACCTGGCTGGCCCCTCCCTTGGAAAGAACCGCCCATGGAGATAGCATCTGGGTGCCGAGCACACCCGGTAAGAACACACCTGGTGCGAGGCCGGGCAGACAGGGAGCCGGGGCCGGAGACGGAGGCCGGGGCCGCTCCCGGCTGGCCCTCGAGTTTCCGAGTGAGCCTCCCTTTGTTCCTGTTTTGCCTTGGTCTGGTGCTCCTGGAGACGGCATTCGCGTCAAACCAAGTTACTCAGATGACAACAAGGCCCAAGGAACCAATGCTCCATAAACAAAAGAGCATGTGTCCCATCTTCTCCAAGGAGAGGAAGC